TATTTTATAAAAAAATAAATTATCAACAAATTTGTTACAATTAATAAGAATAATTATTATTTAAAAACATAATAGGATAGTTCTCATACCTGAGAACTAGTTATGAAGTATTTTATAATAATATGTTTTTTGAAATATTTTCGGAACTTTAATTTTAGATTTTAAGCAAAGCAATGAATGTATTGATTTTACAATTTTGTGTTTTTTTTCTGTCTGACAATCAATTTTTAGGCAATAAAAATTCTTTGATTTTTAAATTTGAGGGAGACATTTGGTAAAAATGTAATCTAGTTTCTACTCCTTAGAGAATTCAAAATTAAAAATCTCCAGTATTTTTCAAAATAACTGGGTACATTAGTTTTCCTCAAAATTCATCGTTTTTTTTTTTTTTTTTAAAGGAATGGGAAGTCATCTCAAAACTAATAATTCTAGATACTTTAAATTTATATTAAATGTTTAAATAAGTGTTTTAAATTTATGACACAGTATAAAAAAAAATTTTTCTAGAGATATTTATAGACATGAGAAAATGTTAAGCTTTTTTAAAAAATCAATAATTATCGATAAAAAAAATGTATTTGGTCTAAAATCTTGAAAATGTGATTCAGTTTTTTTCATAAGTTTATCATTTGTCATTTATATTATTTATTTTTATTATTTATTTAAAATCACAATATTTTTTTTATGAACGATTTTCTTATTACAATTTAGATAAATTTTGTTTGAGTTATAAAAACTTGCTCTTTATTTTGTAGTTTATAAAAATATTTTTTTTATAACATATATTTTAAAATTTAATAAATTAAATTATTTATCATAATTCATATATTTTTAACCCAAAAAAGCTAAAAAGATTAATTACTTATAAATAGCTCATACTGTTACAAAAAAAAAGTATAGGAATATAAAAAAAAAAGTCTTTATAGTTATTTTAAGTTCACATTCGAACGAAATTATATATTTAAACGCAGAGTTACCATTTTATTTTAGAAATTATATTGCAATTTAAAAATATTATACTTTTAACGTATATTACCATATTCTAAACACACAATAACATTTTCAAGTACAATATAGTTAGTAACAATTTATTCAACTTACTTTATCATTAAAAATAGTTAAATTAATTAATTAAATACATAAATAGCAGTATAAATAAACAATTAAATATTATTTTTAACAATAAAAACTGAAAGACCACTTTTATTTGAATCATTTTTCGTATCCAATGATTTATGATTGAACTCAAATGTAACACATAAATCATAGTAGCTTACTTCTCAATAACGAGGTTCATTTCGAATTTACTGAAACAACAAAGTGGTTATATTTTTATCCTTTTTTTTAATTTTTTTTTTCCATAACTTTTTTTGAATATGCTGTTTTTTGCTATGGTTCTAACTAAGTCAAAACAAATGACAGAATTCGACGTGAGAATCTATGATTTAGCTGACATGCTCGGTAAATAACATACTCCAATGCTGAATACTACAGAGAAGACGTCTATCACTGACTACACTTAAAAAACACCACGATTTCTAATAATATAGTGATGACGTTTAAAACCGAAATCAAAATATAATTCACATTGATGATTCAAATGGAGTCACAATACCCTATATTACATACAGCTGTTCACGTTACAAGATGCTAAATTTAATATTAAATAAATCTGAAGCGACGTCTGAAACTGATAATTTTTAACGCTAATTTCTTACTATTATATATAACGAAGACATTTTTCTGGAGTATGCTTTATTACATATTAAAGCCCAAGCTTACTCTGTTGTGCACCTAATCCCTAACCTAACCAATTTACAACCGCGCATGTAATCAATAACAATATAATATGAAAATTTTAAGCTATTGTTGAAGATAGTAAGAGTAATTGGTATAAAAAACGTCTTTATGTCTTTAATATTTAATGTAAATTGTATTGATTATTACGAATAAATATTTTTTTTTTTTTTTTCAGTAATTTAATTGGTCTTCATTTCATTTATTATTTATAAATTCCCAAACACTGTAGTAAAATTAGTTTATGGATTGTTATAATTTAAAAAAACTGTATTGTGTTGTCAAACTTTTTTACTGAGGAACAAAAAATCTTTTTAATATATATTGGATATAAACTAAAATAAAAACAGTTTACTTACTATAAATATATTATAAAATATAATTAGTAACATAAGTTGACTGATCCTCTTAGCTCAGAATCGTTTTTTGTACCTATACAATAATTTATTATTGAATTAAATTTTAACCCATACACACAACATTGACTTACTTATTAATAATTAAGTTTACTCGATCCTTTAACCGTCGTAAACTACTAAAGCTTAATTCTAAAAAATATTTTTTGGAAAGAAAAAAACAGTTTTTTTACACTAAATTAGCCTGTAGTGTAAAAATAAAAATATCTTAAACATTATACGTAAATATGGTATGTTATTTTATTCTTCACTCAGAAATTATTAAAACATAAAAATAGTTTATTTTTTGTTTATAACTTTTTAATGGTTTTAAAATGCTAGCTTAGATATTGAAAATCAATAAATCCCTTTTATTTTAAGTTACTGCCAAATGCTTTCTAATATCATTGGCATTATATGTTGATGTATTATGTTTTAGAAATTTAAATTGTTAAAATAAATTATAATAATATAAGTACACATTTTAATATTAGATGAACTCAGATGTATTTAATATTTTTACAGACAGAATCGGCTAGTTATAGTCTATAAAAGAAAACAATTATAAGCACTTTAAAAATTAACAATTTTAAAACACGGTAATAAACATAATTATACTCTTATTTTTTTTTTTAATTATGACAATATTATTCCTTTTAAAGATTTCAGTAATATAGCATAAATATAAAATCTGTTCTGGAATTAATGTCAAACTTAAATAAAATTAATTAATTTTTTTAAACATACTGCTCTATAAATATAATAATTACTAAGAAGAAAAAGATAACTAAAGATCACATACTGATTTTTATTTTAGTATTTGGAAATACTATAATTTATTTATAAGAATTTCTTAAAAGAAAATCCATAATTCTATCACGGAAATCAATAGGTATAAAATATACTATATAATGCCTCTAATAATAACTGTACAACAAAGTGAGTTAACTAATATCACATTTTTTTTTTTTTTTTTGATTTACGTATACGTATAAATATACTAGTGTAATAGTTTAATTTATAAATTTAAATATAATATTTGTTTGTACATTTTGTTTTCATGATTATTTTGAATATAGAATAATAACTTATTAGAATGGTCAAATATATTAATATTTATTTTAAAAACTGCATTAATAATACGTATACTATGATATTGTAACACTCCCACGTTATATATGACTACCACCTTTGATGTGTTCATTTATTTTATGTCAACACACTCAAACATACGAGTATTATGGTCTGATATTGAGCTCGATGCATATAATATTATAAAGTTATAGACATTTTTTCATATATATATATATGCGTGTTAGTGTACGTATATTAGACATATAATCATACTGTATCGAATGGTATAATGTAATCTATTTAGTGTCAGTCTGTCTCCTATTCTGGTATAAAAATAATGTTTGCGTCAACTACAATCTTTTAAAACAAATCGAAGTGCTCGTGTATAGTTTTATTGCATTTTATATTTCGACGACGTCTCGTTAAAGTCATACTAATATAAATACTAAATATGACACGTTTAAAACATGTTTTTGAAGTTTTACAATATAACTACAGCTGAACGGTTTAAAGCGTATAAAGGTGTTCATTGTTTTTCATATGAAAACAATAAGGAGCGAATAATATTCTATACATATAATATTAACTATGACGTATTTTAATAGATAATGTATTCCGTGATTGTGAAAAGACCGAGTATGAAAACACTATGTGCAATAATGTTATTACGACGATAGATCCTACGGACGCCTGGTGCGGCGGAAACGCGCCTTAATCACCATAATTTGTTAATAAAGGATACCTGGTAGCTGTATACAGTAAACTTATAGTGGGTTATGCTAGGGGTGCAAATAGGGTGTCGAAGGAAACGCGGGTCACCGACATCAACGCCTCCTCCGGCACATAGTATCGTCACCCGGCACAGAGTCAAGGTAGGTTCGTATCTTTAAACATATATACCCACCTACGCTTATTTCTAAATAGGCATAGGAGGAACCTTTTGTTGTAATATTTTCGTATCCAAATACGCTAACTAAAATGTTCAGTGTCATCTCATTTCAAGCGTATATAGCAAAAGTATTAATAGAAATCATACTTGTTAACTATTGAAATGTTTTTTTTTTTTTTTTATAATTATATATTTTAAAATACAAAATAAAAATAGTGAAAAAATACCCAAGTATATTGTGACGGTAAATCTTAATTCGATTAATTAACAATATCTTAAATCAATTAAATGAACTTATTTTATAGCTATAAAATTCAAAATCATATCATTTTTTTAAATTTATTTATTTTATAGTAGGTACAATAGGTACACGCCAAAAAAAAAGAAGAGTTGTTTAACGTTTATTTTTTTGTACTTTTAATTATCGTAGTACAGTATCTATTTTAATAAAATATTTAGAATAGATATTTCAATTTATTTATAATATATATTGTTCTATTCCAATATCATGCTTATTATTTTAGTTTTAATTACAGTAAAAATAATAAAATTTTATTTTTTTCGATAAGTCTCAAATTTCCCATATAATTTTGTAGTGATTCTATAACTAACAAAAACAATAACATTTTAATTTTCCTATTTCTTAATGTTTCGTTGAAATTGTCTTCATCAAACTCTTTAAGAATGCCAGTGAAAGATTCTTTTAACAATAGCTTCTCAAAAAAACATTGACCTAATGTTTTAAATCATTGATTTGCACAATTAACTCTAACTACCATACCTCACAAACAATATAATATTTTATGTATTTCTATTCTATTAGATATATACATAATAATTTTTACCTGAAATTAGAGCCAAACACAGCACGAAACACCATTTTGTTAATAATGAATCCATCATTGTCTTGCTATATTCTTCTTCTCTTCCTATTCTGCTTCTGAAATGCATATATAAATTGAAATCTAATTAATTAACTATACTTTGGCTTATGAATTATTAGTAGTAGCTTAGCATCTCTTCTTTGACTTTCTATGAAGTCACCTTGGATTATTTTAAATAATCACACATATATTTGGAAATGTTTAATACCTTGGTTTATGTATGTGAGCATGACGTGTTTATACGTTTCATTATGTATTGTAGTATCTGTTCATTTAATAGATAAAATAAAATTACTTGCATTATAATATTATTTTTTTTATCATCATAATCAATAATTTCAATAAATATTATTATGAAGATTTTTATTTTTTTAAGATTTCGACAGCTAAGGTTATTAGCCTACACAGTGTTATAATTTTTAAAAAAATGTATGGTTAAAGTTTAATTATTTATATTTTATACGTTACACAATTATTTAGGTACTTTAAAAATTTAACTAGGCTTTAAACAAGCACATATATTATATTAAAATAAATAAAATATTATGCCGTTATGATTATTATAATAGTTCATTCATTTGTCGTTTATATTGAAATATATTTTTGGCATAGAGTTAATTTTATTTTTCTAAATTTGTTTATATTTTAATTAAATACATTTAAAACATTTTTAATATAGACCATTATATTATATTATACTAATATTATTTTATTTTTTTATTTTTTTTTTTTTTTTTAATATAATAGTTAATTTGAATTAAACACTATTATTTTTTTACTAGGCTCACCATAAAACTTATTTGCTACAGTTTCTATAATGCTGTATATAATATTAAGAGTTATTTTAATAGTTTTGCAATATAAGTAACAATATTACATAAGAATATGAATATGCAAAATTGATTTATTATAAAAGTTTTTTGTTTAAAAATAAATATATTTTGAAGGATTTTCTTGAGTATTACAAGCAGTGATTACTAATAATGTTAAAAACAGTGATTTTTCAAGTTGACATAATTTATTCATAGCTACTATAATAGGTTTAAAAATGTATACACGATTACATACCTACCAACCATAATTAAATACATTTAAGTGTAAAACAATAATACTAAATGTGATTTTTGTTATATTTAATCACTAAATATAAAATTCATTGTTCATTGTAGGTATAATGATTAATAAATAGAAAAAATGGGTCTTCATTTTTATTAAATGAAGTTAAGTCTTATGAAGATTCGTGTAATCCACGTACCAAACTGGCTTTGATCAACATAATAAAGTCACATTGAAGTGTACATTGTTTTTTTTTTAAATAACAGTGTAGACACATCATATCTTAAAAGAATTTCGATACTTCGAATTAATAAAATAATAATATATTACATACGGATATGGATGAATATTTCGGTGAATAATTTTTTTATTGAGTAAATTGGTTCTTTATTACGTTTAAATAAAATAAATAATGTATTATTAGCATAATATATTTTACTAAAATTAAATTAAAAGAAGTTATTATTTCGCTAAATTAAAAACAATCATATAAAAAATGTTTAAAAAGTGTATTGATTAAAATCTATCTTATAATATTAAAATAATACACCAGTACTGAAGTAATAATTGATAAAAAATTATATGAAGTATTTTAATGACTGGCAACCAAAACGGTAAGTCATCTTTAATAAACATAATATTATTCGTGTCAATCGTACTCAATTTAGATATGAATCTCGTGTGATTGGGTAAATTTCGTTTTTAGATACAGAAGTGACATTTAATACTAAAATATATGAAACATTAAATCCTTCCGAATTGTGAATACCCAATTATCATTAATTACAGGTAATCATCAAGAATTATTTTAGTATACAACACTTCACGTGTTTCATTATGTCGTCCCGCTTCACGCATTTTGTACATCGTAGATAATTCAACAGCTTTTATTATTACACCTATATATTAAAATCGATATACAAATAAAGGCTACAGGTGAGGTTACAAATGTTTATATTATTTATTTTTATCACAACAATGTAAATTTTTAACGAATATTTTATAAACTGGAATATTTGTTCCCAAAATATTGCAAATTAGCTGATAATATTAAATTCCATGGAGTTTTATACGCAAATATAATAAAACAATTTAGAATATTATAACATATATCTCCTGTTTATGATTTATGTTTCAACGTCACCATATATTATGTATTATTACTTGACTTTTTTCACTATTGTATTGTTTTAAATTAAATTTTTTTTTTTTACAAATTATATATTACTTATATATTATTAAGCATGTAATTTTGATAGAATAAATAATAATAATACATAGATACTTATAAGTATAATATTTTATATATTTATTTTATTACCAATGAGAATGGGTGATAATATTTATTTAACATGGTATTTTTAAATTTAAATTATTCGTGGTCTTATTAAGATTCAGATATTTATTTTTATTTTTTTATTTTAATCAGTACTATTTTATTTTTTTACAAAAAAATTACAACATTTTGATTAAGTTATTAGATCATAAACCAAAGACAAGATTTGAATATTAATAAATAAAGTTATGAGAAAATTCAAATATAATATCATCAGCGTTAATTTGTATTTTTTATTTGCAATTTAAAAATGAAAAATAATAACAAGAGCAGATTTACTGTCTACGTGAAGTTTTTGTTTAAGTATTGCGTAAAAATGATATACAAATTCGTTGAAATCTAAAAAAAAAATAATTTTTATACAATCTTTGTTTAGTCCAATATATTGTTACAAATCATTTTGGAAAAGTGTATTTAATTTTATGTCGTTATCATATTTATAATAGATTAATTCCTTTTTTCTAAGAACAGAAAAAAAATAGTTAAATAATATAAAATATGATACTAAAATTGTTCATTACTCATATCTTTTTTTTTCTTTTAATTTATTCATTTATTCAAAAATCTGATTTTTTAAATTTGTAAATATACTTAATAATTAAAATATACTTACTTTGTTTATTATTTATATGTATACATTGATTGTCAATGTAATTGTGTATTTATATTTAAAAAAAAAAAAAATCACCTACCAAACAATTTAAAGTTAAAAATGGTGATTTTTATTAAAAAAAAAATATTTCACACGAAGTGTTTTCATGTTAAATGATACAAACAATTTAATATTTAAAATTTTTTTTTAGTTGTACATATTAAAATAAAATTTTAAAAATCAGAATTTAATACATATTAAAAGAAAAATTAAGGGAAAGTATGTTCAGTTAATTACTGTAAATATATTGTACCTTGATTATCTGAAAATTTTACATAGGAATTATATTTTAAGATTTTAGTTTGTGATACATTCTATATATATATATAATATATATATAACTTACCTAATAAATAATAATTAATTAGTACATTTTCAAAAATGTCAAGTTTATAATAAACTTCCAAATATTTAGTTTATTATTAGTTAAATTAAGTAAAAATATAAAGTTATGTAAAGTTATAAGTATAATAAATTATTTAAGTTAATAAATTACTGGTGTGTACGCAATATTTTCCTAAAGAAGCGGGGTTCAATTAAAACTAAGGACAATCATACAAGCCGCACACACAACCCCGTCATCATACTTATCTGTTTGTAGATTTAGGTACAAGAACAAAGTAAAAACGATAAAGAGTACCTTTGAAGGTCTGGATGTGAAAATACACTCACTAATTTTTTGATATCTTAATCACTGAAATAATATATAAAATAATAGAGCAAAAATTATTTTAAGTTTTATAAATTTAATTTACACATGATTAAATTATTTTAAACACGTATAATAACATAACATAGCTTTAACTTAATTCAACTATTACAATTATAATAATTTAATTTAATGTATAAATTATAAAATATCATATAGAAATGACAAATAACATATAATTATACAATTTTTATTTTCATTTCCATACACATTATGCATAATATTTAAAAATTATTAATATGAATATATTTCTCTAAAGAATGTGTCTGATTTAATGATTAATAATTAATTTTATGTAATAATAATTTTTAAAATGAATTCCTTAAATCTGACTGTATATTTAAATAAATACATAATATGGAAAAAATGTATGACTATTAATTAATTTTTTCTATACAAAATCATTTATTTTTAAATATTTCTCCTTTTTAATTAAAACACATCTATTTTAATTTTTTAAGCAAATAATAAAATAATATTAAAAAAAAAAAAATACATATTTTTCATAATATTCTATACTAATTTTATATTTCAAAACATAATATTTTTCTGAAAATTAATGTGTTGTATTATAAAAATTTAATTTTGAAAAAAAAATTATTGAAGTTTATATGAGCTTTTCAAAGATGTTATTTTGTGATGACTTCAAATCCAATTAAAATAATATTTCCTAAAACATTCATACTTTTTGAGATAATAAATTTTTGTTTTTGAAAGAATGATTTTGATATATTATGAAGCTAAAAATAAAATTTGAACACCGTGGATTAAAAATATCTTATTATAAGAAAACCATAATTACTCGTGTTAATAATGGACCTTTCTTCCAAACACACAATTTATAGCGTCATTAGAACCAATGTTTGCTGTGTGTTAATTTTTAAGATTTTACTAAGTTATAAATAACTTAAGATATTAATGTTTTACATGCATATTCATGGATTATTACTGGTTTATATAATAAAAAATCATAGAATAAACAACTTTTTTTAGTATACGTTTATAAGATACAAATTAAAAAGTAGGTGAAATTTGTATACTCGATTTCTAATCATAAACATTAAAAGTTAGTTTAATTAAAAATTATTATTTATTTTTCACTTGACTGCCATCACAAACAAACAACATTCTAAAAATTAATATTTATTTTTTCGTCGTTGTTATCAAATTCTCTACATTCATTAGGAAATGGATTTTTGTACTTTTTCCACTTCTAACTAAAATTATATTTCCCAACGGTCCAATAAAGGGTTGTTTGACTTTATCCAGACGCCTATAGTCACTCATATATATATATATAATG